CCCCCCGTTTTTGGTCCCATTCCCCACTCCACCCCCACAGAATGTCTCTGGTCTATGGTTGTTCATTATTTTTGTTATTGGGCTCCTAATTTTTTAAGATTTATTTATGCATACAAAAACTGGGGTGCAGGCTAGAGGTGTGGGGTAGGGGGTGAGAGGATTCACCAGAAATAGACTGGGGAGCAGACAGTGCTAAGGGAGCAGCAGGAGAGACAGAACTGCTGTGCCGGGTGGGTCAGTTCCTTGGTGGGGATCGAACTCGTGCTGCAGTGGCTGCCGATGGCGTCACAGTGCTGCGCTGTAACTCGTTGCACCACCAGGGAGGGCCCGTCCGAAATCCTTCTAACTAGAACTGACGGTGAGCCCACTGGGCCTGGGATGGCTGCGCAGCAGAGGCTTGGGAACTTGGTCAAGGTCACAGCTAGTAATGGCAGAGCTGGCCAGTGAATGCAGGTCTGCTTCTTTATCATTAATACTAGACTCGCTCAGCGTTTCATAAACTACCCTGAGCCTCCAGCTCTCCCCCTCCTCCAACGCTAGCTGGGAGGCAGGGAGGGCTTGACGAGGTTGGGCTGTGTCCTCCATCCCTCCTGGGTCCCCAACTCTAATTGGTCTTCAAACTTGGCTGCAATCAGACCCCAAACTTCAGCTATCCAACTTGGCACCCTGGCGTGGTCCAGCTGAGGACCCAGTGCCTTCAGAGAACCAGTAGCCTCAAGGGCCTCTTACACCCTCAGTCTGAAATAGGCGGTCCCGGGGGCTGCTTTCTGGTGGGCTAAGGCCTTCTCCAGAGCCACAGGCTTGATCCCTCTGTTCCCTGACTGTCCCCCCATGTCTCTGGAATAAGCTCCTGGCTTGGAAAGTGGACCTCCCCCAGCTCTGAGACTGTCCATCCCTGCTGGCCCCTTAGCCTTGGGGGCTGGGGTAGGGTTGGCCACCCTGGAGTGACCCGTGGTACTGTGCCCCCTCCCTCACTGGCCCAGATCCTTGAAGGAGCTCTACTTTGAGGCCATTGCCATGGTGAAGGCCCTGCAGACTGCACTGGCTACCTGTGGGCCCAGCTGCCCCCTAGTGGGCATGCCACCCCCTGCAGCTCCTGGCAAGCTGGAGGGCCTGGGAGGCTGGTAGGTTTTTTTTGTGGGGTCAGGGGGCTACATAGGCGGGGAGGCTACATAGCTGTATTTGGCTTCTAATTACACCTTTCTTCCTGACATGTCTTCCTGACATGTCCCACAGCCCACTTTTTTTTTTTTAAGATTTATTTATGCATACAAGAACTGGGATACAGGCCAGAAGTGTGGGGGTGAGGACTCACCAGAGCAAGAGCAGAACAAGCGGATTGAAAAAGTACAAAGCTGAGGGGGGCAACTGGAGAGGCAGGAGTGACCTGCTGCGCCACGAGTCAGACCAGGGATCGGACTCCTGCTGGGTGGCAGCTGGCTCGAAGTGCTGTGCTTGAACCCGTTGCACCACCAGGGAGGGCCGGTAGTTCAGTTCCTCATTTCCAAGTTACAAATGCTAGTTTATCTCAATTTTACCTCCAATAAACTGGTTCAGAGGCTGTTTCACTTGACCGCAGCCTGGGGCCCCACAGCTGCATGGGCAGGTGTGCACTTCAGCTCCGCTCTGACCATTAGCGGTCACTGTGTGCATGCTCTGGGGCTCCTGGAGGGGCGGCCCTGCTCCTGTGTCTGTGCTTCCTTCTCCAGCTTGGGGACCGTTGACGTGTCCCTCTGTTGAGCACCTGTTGAGTGCCAGGCAGGCCTGAAGCAAAGCACTTCATGGTAGCCACATTCCCACACCAACCCGCAGAGTACGGAAGCCGGATACCAACGGGTTAGTATCCCCACAGCGAGAGGCTGATTCCCGTGTGCTGCAGCCAAGGCCTGGCAGCACGACTATTTGAAGGCCATGTAAGTTTCTTCGGGAATGGCAAACACGTCAAGAGCCTAAGTCTTGGCTCAGAGGGGGAGTGTGTGGGTCTGGCCACTATGGTACAAAAGGGCACTGACACCGGGCATTCCCCCCTTGCAGAGGGCCCACAGGGACAGTCATCCTGGGATGTCCAGCCTGGAACTGCTCGAGAACTTGGCAGCAACTGAGAAAGGGCCCCTGGAGTGGGCTGTGGTGCAGGCCCCCCTGGTCAAGCCTGGCACATAGCTGCCCGGAAATGTCCCACCTATGCCCACCAGGCCTCGGCCTGACCCGAGGAGGCAGGGCCCCAGCTACTGTGGGGTACCTCCTGCTGTTTGCTCTCCAGTTCAGTGTGCCCGCTGCCCGGGCCCTCTCTCCTCCACTTGACAGCGAGCACCAAGCTCCCAAGGAGGCTTCCATGTGACCGCCCTGGGCACTCACACCACGCGAACACCGGCTGTTTTCTCAGTGACTTTACTCTTCTCAGCCCCAGCCCGGGAGTGGGCGGTGCGGGGCAGGGAGGGCAGCCCGTGCTGCTCAGCCACACACTGCGAGGGCCAGAGGACAGAAGCCCGGGCCTGGCTGCAGGCCACAGTGGGCAGCAGCGCCACTACTGGAAGCCAGCTCATGCGCTGGGAAGCGGGTAATCGTGAAAAAACAGAAGCAAAGCCCCAAAACCCCTTTCCTGAGAAAAGTCCCTCGTGTCTCCAGGGAGACAACCGGCCAGAGCGTTATTGTTCGGTCTGTCCCTGTCGTCCTGTTGCCCACGTGGTCCAGTCGGCCTGGAGCCTTCACCCCAGGGCCTGTCAGCTGTCGTCGTCATCCTCTTCTGACTCTTCTGCAGACTCGGGCGCACTGTCTGGCAAGTTGTCACCCATCTCTTGGAAGCTTCCGGACTCTGCATCCCACATGTATTTAATGGTCACCTTGAATTCAGCCATTTCATACCCGAAAAGCTTCTGTGAGAAACAAAGGTAGCCAAGTCAGTACCAAGCCGGTCCGAGGCCCCGCCCACCTCACCCAGCAGACTGCTGGGTGGCCAGCTCACCAGGACACGGGCCTGCTCTGGGGTGAGCACGTCGCCCTCCTTGCACACCTCATAGTCAGAGAGCAGGGTCACCACACCTGTGGGGGAGGGGCCAAGCAGTTACTTCCATACAGAGGCCTGTGCCCAGCCTCCCACCCGTGGTCAAGACTGTTGGCCAGCTGCCCCGACCTGGTCTGGCCCCCGGAACTGGGGGCCAGTTCTGCTGCGTGGGGGGTTTCGCAGAGGCCACCTCCCTTCCTGACCCTGAGGCGCTGTGCTCCAGCTTGACTGCCGGAAGCCGGTGCTCTGACCTTCAAGCACCAGGGTCTCGTCTGTACCTCTCTTGAGGGCCGTGGGCAGCCCCAGCTGCCTGAGCTGCGGCTCCATGGAGTGGGGGAACTGCTCCAGGGGCCCTGGGTCCAGGCTCACGGTGAAAGTTGCTTTGTTGCCAGCTCGGGCGTAGTCCATTTCTGCGTATTTTGTGAACCATCTGAGGGAGACAAACAGGAAGGGAGGCTCCTCACTGGCCCACAGCTCGCTGAAGCCTGGCTCCCAGGGTCTCCCAGCAACCTGCACCCCCAGTCTGCCACAGCTGTGGGCCGGCAGCCAGTCTGGAGCACCGAGCTGGAGTGAGCCCAGGCTTAGTAACGGCGCCACACTGCACAAAGCCCCCAGGATGCCCTGCTCCAGAGCGTACCACCCCCTCCGCCAACCCCAACCCCTCTCCC